CTGTTTGTATGAAGTGTGTAGATGAAAAAACAATTTTACGTCTTCTCTTGTCTGTCTTAAAATTATACAGCTCTTTAGCGAAATTCAGTGTGCACAACCAGTCTTTCACAGCAACAAGAGCAGTCGTCATGCAACATACACTTTTCTGATTGTAGTTATCGAAGTCGGGAGCACAAATACAGCACAGACAAGTTGATCACAAACGATGCTGTCCATTCGACATTCTTCACGAAAACCATTCTGTATCGTTAAACTTTCTCGTCGTCCCAGAAATCCAATACTTAAAAATCATGTGAGCTCTTTAAGATTATTTCCGAATGATATGCAGTTAACGAGATCCTCTCAACAATTTTTTTTCTAGTCCTTGTACTCATTGACAACAGGCACTCAACCAATTACTGTCATCAATACCAGAATTCATCCTACCGACGATAATCAGGTTACTTCCAACTTCTTGACGGATTCGGTAAGGACCCTATCAAGAATGGCCATTTTTTCTGAAGAAACGAGCGAATTCTGAGAGAAACATGTAGTAGGGAAGTGTTCAGAATCCTGACAAGATTTCAGACAGTATATTGTCAGCATTTTAAAAAGCGGTCCTTTGCATGTGAAGCAGAAAACGGTTCAGGAAGTCCAAATCCTGATCAGTTTTGCAGCACATGCCGGCCAGGATTTTATCAGGATTTTGATGGTTCTGGGTTGAAAAAATCTCAGTAAATTTCAGTGTTCGACATGGTTCACTTTTCTGTGGCCCGACTCGACCCAGCCCGACTTAAGCACGGTTTGACCTGGCCCGAGATCGAAAATTTTTTTGTTGACCCGACTCGAGTGTAAAAATACTTTTTGGCCAATCAAAGCGAGCTTTTTCAGGCTTTGCCAATCTTTTCAGTGGATCTATACAAATTCCCTTAATATTCGAAAGAAAGATATCATTATCTCATATAAAATGGGTGTTTATCTTTTGGGAAGGTCGAAATCGGTCAAATTTTTTGTGACCCGACTCGAGCTTGAAAAATTTTTTCGTGATCCGATCCAGCCCAACCCAATCATGCTGTGACCCGACTTGATCCGACCTGGCCCAGTCCGAATCGAACACTGGTAACTATCACGATGATCTTGTCACAAGCTACAGCATTTCTTAGACTTCTTGAAAATAGCGTACTAGGATTTTGTCAGGATATAAACGAGATCTTAGCAGGATCATATCAGGATCTAAATGCCAGAACATTAAAGGAGTGGGCACAGAGTATTGATCTCTAGATCTTCAGTTTATAAAATGAGCAGCTTACCCGGATGAACTGTGCCATGTCATCATCAGTGACTTCGTGTTTAATTCTCTGTGTTTTAAGCTCAAAAGTTTAGTTTTGTTTGAACTTTTTGGAAACCATCTTATACTCAGAAAGCTATACAAACTTAAAAAACTTCTCACGAGATTGCAAATAGCTGATATAACCTGCCATTTAGAGTTTATTGTAAATGATCTTTTAAAAAATTTCCGCCTTCTGTTACTCATGAAAAGAGAAAACTGAAAAAGACAATTTTTCTGTAAAGTTGCATTGTGCTATAAATTGTCATTTCAGCCAGCAACGCAATGCCTAGTTTCGATTTGATTTATGACTTAACAGTTTTTCGAGCTAAATGGAAGAATAGAGCTGCAGGCGATTCAATTCTTTACAAGTTCGCACTCAGGATAAGTTCCAAAGCAAATGTTCAAACGATATGATAAATTGAAAACTGAAGGAGGCTAACTTTAAGTTCCAATTCCTATTAATAGTTGTGCCATCGAAAGTCTAGTCAGACTAATATGCGTAATTGCTAAAATTTTCTTGTTTGCAAACATATTCGCATCGAAAATTGATGGTATTCTGCCGGAATTCACCAATGTAAAGTTTCATCCTGAGAATTTCTGAAGAAATCTTTGAAAGATCGGATAGAATTATGATAAGTCTTGCTCAAATCTAGTCAGAACTCTGGACACTTCTTGGTTACACGTTCTTATGAAGGTTTGTGAGTTTTCTGGCTCGATTCTTAGTTCAAACATAGTGAAAAATCTATGAGAATTATCGTAAATTTCTGTTTCACTTACTGCTAAGTGGTTTGATACTTCTCGGCTACACGTTTCTATCAGGATTTGTAGGCTTTCTGAACCGATTCCTGCTTATATGCAACAGACAGCTATTCAAGATACTGATAACATCGTGTTTCAAATCTTGTCAGATTCCTAAAAACTTCCTACTACAAGTTTCTATCAGGATTTATGGACTTTCTGAACCGACTTCTGCTTCACATGCAATGGATAACCAATCAGGATCCTGATCAAATTAGATTTCAAATACTTGCAGAATCGTTGACAATCTAGCCTACGCGTTCCTTCCAGGATATATTCGCTTTCTGAATTGATCTCTGATTCGTATGTAGTAAACACTTGTATAGAATCCTGACAAAGTCCTATCCGAAGTCTTGTCAATATACTGAACACTTTCGCTACACGATTCTTCGAGGATCCAGTCGTTACCACAGGAAAACGGGAGATCCTTCATAGAATTTGTCAATGATCTGAACCGAAACCCTTAGGATTCTCTCTAACATTACTTCTAGCATACGATTTTTAAATTTCATGTTCGTTAGAAGAAATAATTTTAATCAAAATCAATTTCAATAGAGATCCAAAGCAAGGGTGTGGGTGTGGGTGTGAGTGTGGGTGTGAGTGTGGGTGTGAGTGTGGGTGTGGGTGTTGGTGTAGGTGAAATGAGAACTAACACCTACACCCGAACCCACATCTACACCAACATCCAAACCAGACCCACACCCCACACTCACATCCAAACCACACCCACACCCACACCCACACCCACACCCACACCCACACCCACACCCACACCCACATCCACACCCACACCCACATCCACACCCACACCCACACCCACACCCACACCCACATCCACACCCACACCCACACACCCACACCCCACACCCACACCCACAC